GTCTCTTTCTCTCCCTCTTTCTCTCTCTCTTTCTCTGTCTCTCTCTCTCTCTCTCGGTCTCTTTGTCGTTCTTTTTTTTTTGTTTATCTGTCCCTTTCTCTGTCTCTCTCTGTCTCTGTATCTTTCTCTTTCTCTTGCTATTTCTCTCTCTCTCTCTTTATCTTTCTCTTTCTCTTTCTCCTTCTCTTTCTCTTTCTCCTTCTCCTTCTCCTTCTCTTTCTCTGTCTCTCTCTCTCTCTCTCTCCTTCTCTTTCTCCTTATCTTTCTCTCTCTCTCTCTCTCTCCTTCTCTTTCTCTTTCTCTTTCTCTTTCTGATTCTCTTTCTCTGTCTCTGTTTCTTTCTCTTTCTCTTTCTGATTATCTTTCTCTTTCTCTGTCTCTGTCTCTGTCTCTTTCTCTTTCTCTTTCTCTTTCTCTTTCTCTTTCTCTTTCTCTTTCTCTTTCTCTTTCTCTTTCTCTCTCTCTCTCTGTCTCTGTCTCTGTCTCTTTCTCTTTCTCTTTCTCTGTCTCTGTCTCTGTCTCTCTTCTCTCTTTCTCGTTCTCGTTCCTTCTCTTTCTCTTGCTCTGTCTCTTTCTCTTTCCCTCGCTCTCTGTTTATCTTTCTCTCTCTCTCTCTCTCTGTTTCTCTTTCTGCTTCTCTCTCTCTCTCTCTCTCTCTCTTTCTCTTTCTGAACCGAAACCAAAACCGAGACCTAAACCACACCAGGGTCCCGAAACCCTAGACCGCAAATGCAGGACGACGAGACCGAGAAGGAGCCGGAGAAGGAGCCGGAAGAGGAAAAGGAGGAGGAGGAAGAGGAGGAAAAGAAGGAAAAGGACAAGCAGAAGGTCACCCTAGCAAATGTGAAGACACACCAGGCTCTGCTGGATGCCAAAGGATTGAGCTCCCAGCAGATTCAGAAGGCACTGGCAGGGATGCCTGAAAATGAAAGGCAGAAGCTGTGGAAGAAGTTCGAGCGAAAGAGGACTAGCGACGGAACGGAGGACGAGTACCGCAAGTACTGCAGTGGCCCCGGTGCTCGAGACAAGCAGAACAAAGCTTTGGAGGCCTTCGTGAAGGATGGAGGAGCCTGTGGTGAGCTGTACGCAAAGCAGATGTTGAAGATCACACACAAAGAGGAGCAGACAGTGGAAAGCCAGTGGAAGACGTGGAGGCCGGGACGGTTTAATGTCTGGAAAGACACAAGGAGGTCATGGGGAGTGTTAAGTTTTTTTAGTGTCTGGAAAGACAGCAGGAGGATGTGATTCTGATGCCTGGAAAGGCAGGGGGTCATGGCACTGTGTGTGTGTGTGTGTGTGTCTGTGTGGTGCCTGCCTGGGCAGGCAGATTGTCTTGACAGCTGCAGACTCATGCCTATGTCTGACTGCCAGGCAAATGAAAGTGAAGTTTGGTAAGAAAGAGGCTTTGGCCAGACTGAAGAGCGGCTCTTTGAAGTTCCGCAAGTCTCCCTCCGACTCGAGGTTCTTAGAGTTCTTGGACATGACAGAAGTGACAAGAGCCTCCTTCGCCAGAGAGAAGGGAGTGGTCGTCAAGAGCTCTGGAAAGAAGACAGACTCGAAGGCTTTGGTAGACCTGCAAGACATGGACCTCGCTGGACTGACTCCGTCGTCCTTCAAGAGCATGGACGTGGAACCGGAACTGAAAGCTTTGCTTGGTGGCCCGGACAAGAAGAAGAAGGCAAAAGAGTCCTCGCAGGAGGAGGAAGACTCAGAGGAAGAGGAGGACTCAGAGCAAGAGTCCGGAAGCTCGGAAGCCCCTGCCAAGAAGGTGAAGACGAAGTCGCGAAACGCAGACAGCAAGGCTTCTGGGTCCAAAAAAGGGAAGAAAGACGAGGACTGGGACACCAAGTCCCGCTTGGAGGACAACGACGGCAAGCAGCAGTTCTTTGAGAAGCTTCTGAGCTTCAAGGAAGCCCTGGGAAAGGAAGAGACTGTCTTGCAGAAGTTGGTGTCGACAGCTGAGGACGAAGACCAGAGCAAGTTTCTGAAGACAGCAAGAACGAAAGCGCAGATGGCACAGAAGAAGATCGACAAGGCCTTGAAGAACATCGAGGACAAGAAGGAAGACAAAGCTGAAGTGAAAGCTGCTCTGCTCGAGGCCCTTGAAGCTTTGAAGAAGGCCAAGAAAGCCAAGCAAGCAGCAGACTAGTGAAGGAAAAGACTTGAAGAAGGCTTGCCTCTTAATTGCCTTTGACAGTTATGCTTCCAAACTCTTGTCTGTTTGCAGGAGGCATCGAAGCTCCTGGAGCTGAATGATCTCGCTAAAGTGAAAGATGGACTTGTGGAGGCAGCTGGTTTTTAACTTCAAACCTTGTAGCCTGGATGAGGCTAGCAGTGGCACCGGTAGGAGATGATGATAGCTAGCGAATGCAGATGTTGAGGAGTGTTGTTTTGTGGAGTTTCTAGCAGCTGTGATGTTGATGAATGTAGATCATAATGATGTTGCTGGCTAAAAGGTGCCCAGCCTCTGTAGGACTGAACTTTTGCATCCTCATGCAAAATTGCATGAAAGGATCGCCGAATGGCACAACGAGGGGTGGAGCCCCGCGAGTGAAAAGAGAGTGTGTGTGTGTGTGCTGCTTTGCAATGCTTTGAATGCCTGGACAGGCAGGTTGTGCACGCCACTTGTGTTGTGCATGCCTGGATAGGCAAGCTGTTGCACATGCCTGGATAGGCAAGCTTTTGTTTACAGATATATGCTGCAGGGATCAGGGCCCTGATCACCCTGTCATGCACCGCAGCCCATTTCAGGTCCCCTAGAACCCGGAATAGCACAATGGGCAAGAAACAAAAAACCAGCCATGAGCCGCACTCGCCGCTTTTTTTGATGCTCGTGAGGCATTTTGCACTGGGCAAGCTGTCTGCTTCAGAAATTCAGGAGTTTGCAGACTGTGCGGTGAAATCTGGAAGCTCAGCAGAAGACTTGCTGAAACTGCAGGCCTTAGGAGCCCATGGTGAATCGCCACAGAACTGCCACAGAGACATTTCCAGGTGGATCTTCAAGAACATGTGCTCCCCAGAAAGCACCAGCATCAGAACACCTGTTCTGGTCAGGGAGTTGAATGGTGAGAAGAAGATGATGGAGAAGGACATCCCTGTGAACTTGCCCCATGCCTGGATCGACCAGCTCTCTGAGCATGGGTTTTTGGAAACAGTCATGGCTCCCGAAGCAGAAATCCGGAAATTCTGGAGCAAGCAGCTCTGGAAAGAAAACCCTCAGTTCCGCCAGGATACAAAGTACTGGAAGGCCATAGATTTCCAGGCAGAGGCCCCTATCCCACTCGTGCTTCACGGAGACGCAGCTCCATATTCGGAGACTGACTCCACGATGGCAATATCGATGCGATGCATGGTGAGCAATGTGAGTGTGCAGTTTTCGCAGCTTATGCTGGTGAACATGCCGAAGAACGCCACTGAGGACTGGGACAGAACTTGGGACCCAATCTGGAAGGAACTGTCGGAGTCCTTCAAGAAGCTCGCCGCTGGAAAGAGCATCTTGCAGAAACCAGGAGCTGTTATTATATATTCGAAGATATCATCTTGTTTTAAACAATAGTTGGCCTGACTGGGATCGTTTTCCATGTCTGGAAAGACACGACAGACCGCACCGAACACCACGATCCCACCCAAACCCATGTATGAATTAGGATTTTCGTTTTGGTGAGTGTATAGTTATAGGCTTGCTTTTGACATTTGGTGACTGTATCTAGTAGGTCATTATGGAGATACTATATATCAACCATACTCCCTGTCACTGCATTCAAGGCAAAGCGAGAAGACGATGTATTATTATGTCCGTCAGCGGCGACCTCGAATTTTTCTGTTCTCAGTTTGGCTGGCCCACTAGTGCTCGGAATGACCCATGTCCTTATTGCGAATGCACCAATTTTTTCGACGAGAGCAAGAACACGATCCATTCAACGATCTGCGACCACAGGCTGCTTGGAGATCCACACTATTGAACCCTCGAGCTGAGGACCTGAGGCAGCACCACCTCTGGAGTGTTCCGGGGGTCGGCTTCTGGACGGTCAAACTGGATCTGTTGCATTTGATGGATCTTGGCATTTCTTGCCACATCTTTGCAAACCTGCTGTGCGACATTTTGGATACACTGCCAGGGAGCAGCTTGGAGGCCAGGTTGAAAGTCTTGAACCCGAAAATTTCGCAGATATATGAAGACCTGGAGATACCGACGGCTGAACGGTTTCCGAAATTGCTGCGAAGCAATTTGATGGCAGACACTGGATACCCGACTTTGAAGCACATCAAAGGCAGGACTGTTCGGAAGTTTTCGCCAGTAGCTGTACGGTTGGCCACGGAATATAGTGATGACTCGTCTACGAGATCTATGCACAGAAAAGCTTGTGTGGAGTGTTTGGACAAAGTGTACAGCATGGCAGATGAGAAGAAATGGGTTTTTTCTTCAAAGGATTTCACAGTTTTCGAAGATGCAGTGCAAGGAACCTTGTCCCACTATCATTTCCTGGCGAAAGATGCATTGAAGAGGAAGCTTCTGAAATACAGCATCACCCAGAAGTTCCACCTCTTTTACCACTTCGGGCAGCAGTCAAAATATCTGACGCCGAGATGTGTTTGGTGCTATGGCCCTGAGTCGTACCTGGCGATTGTGAAAGCTGTGACTGCAAGCTGCTCTCGTGGAACTGCCAGCTACCAGGTTGTGGGAAAGGTGCTTCAAAAGTTTAGCCTGGCTTTTCACTTGCTCTTAAAGGGCTTGTTGGACTTCGACACTGAGAAGCCGGAGGACTAAAAAAGAAGGGTTCTGCAAACCCAGTGTCTGGATAGACATATATAGTCTTAAACTTTTTATTTCAGTGTCTGGATAGACAATGCAGGTACCGCCGCAGCCACCGCAACTTGTCTGCACTAGGGGTCAGGGGGGCAGGGGGGCAGGGGGGCAGGGGGCAGGGGGCAGGGGGCAGGGGGCAGGGGGCAGGGGGCAGGGGGCAGGGGGCAGAGGGCAGGGCAGTGTCTGGATAGACATGTCGCTTGGTCCTAGTGTCTGGATAGACAACCTAAACCCTGAACCCTAAGCCCAAACCCTAAATTCATGTACGTACTATATAGCTTTGAGTGTCCGTGTTTGATGATAGGACTTTGCCGATTCTTCACAGTGTCTGGATAGACACGACATATGTAGCTGTATGTATATATGTATATATGTATATGTATATATATATGTGTGTATATATATATGTATATATATATATATGTATTTATATATATATATATATATATATATATATTTATATATATATATATATATATACACATACATACATACGTATATATATATATATGTATATTTATGTATATTTATGAACTCACGAAAATGCTGAAAAGTACATCCTGTAAATGGCAGAAGAGATAATAGATATATGGTGTTTTTGCACACATGGGAGTGCCTAAAACACACTTCCGCGATTGATTTTTCTATTGATTCCACGCTTGATTTTTCTATTGATTTTAACGACACTCTGCGATTGATTTTGTCGCTATTGAAAAAAGCCTCTCTGCGATTGATTTTGGCCTCGTTTCAATCGGCGCTTGAAAAAATCAATCGCGATTGATTCCAACCAATATTGGAGCATATGGGGGGTTTGCGTGCGGAGATTGGCATCGCTGTCCGTGCAAGCTGGCTTCAGGCTTGCATTTTTGGAGTTGGGCGGTCATGGTTTGGCGACAGTTTAGTTGGGGGTTCTAAGGTTAATTTGTTATCGGATTCAGACGTGTTGGGATTTCCTATACACTACTCTTACGTAAGGGTTGAGGCTACTGGGTTTTCAACTTGTGGGCTGCTACTATAAACCTTAGTAACTACAACTCTAACCCCGCCCCCAACACAAGCTTCTGAGGTGAGGAGGCGATGTCTCAGCTGCAGCTACTCCGGCGGCTGAAGCTGAGCATCTGCCAAGGCAGGAAGTCAGCGAGCTCGGAGCCCAAAGCTAAAGAAACTGAAAGTAGGCCCACCTGGGAGTTCCCGAAAATTAGGGGTACCTTATTTTGGGGCCCTTATAATATTATAAGGACCCTACTATTGAGGGCACTATGTTAATTAGGGTCCCCTATTTTCGGAAACTCCCAACTAGCCTTATGGGATGAAAAGGTGTTGTGTTCGTGTTTAATGTTGTTCTCTGTGGCGCTTTATAGGGAATCTCCCGGAGCCCAAAACGGAAAGCAGACTTAAATAGCCTTGTAGGTGTTGTTGTTTTTGTTTTGTTTTGCAAGGTGTTTTTGTAGTATGTTTTTATGGCGCTATAGGGATTTGTTGAGGGTGTTGTTGAGGCTTAGAAGGACTGTTCTGACTTCAGGGGGATTTGAAACGGTGAATGTTGTAAGGAAACGCCGCAACATTACCATGGTTGGCAGTGTTACGACACTGGTAAATGTTGTTAATTTCATGCTTACTCGTCTTGTTCTTTACTTGTGACATTTCTTCATCTGTTGGCTTTTCGATCGTGTTTGTCATTGACGAGTTGGCGATACCAACTATGTTTGTGCTTGGCGCTGCGAATACAATATTTGTTATAGCAACTACCACAACTATCCCAAATCACACAATCGCTGCTATTTGTTCTTTGGACAGTCATTACTAAGCGGTTACAATTATGATTACTTTGAACCCCGAACTCTAAATCCGTATTCGTTGTAAACCGAATAGCTACATGCTTGTACACCCTTTGACCAACCCCGAGACCGTGGGTCCGGGAGTCCTACGGCAGGCGACGGCAGTTTTGAGGAGCGCGTCTCCGCAGCCGCCAGAGCCTTGGGGCTGTCGGGTTTAGGGTTTGGGGTTTTGGTTTGCCGTTTCGAGATTTGGAGTTGAGGGTTTCGGGATGTGGAGTGTTGGGGTTTCTGGTTTTTGTTGGACTTGTTGGGGTTTGGGAGTTTTCGGCTTAGATCTCAAGTTGAAATTTCACGGGATTTATGAAGTCAGTTGTCTCTTGGGGTTATAGATTGCCTTGGTTTAAATACCTACAGCGAGTCTTACTGAGTCCCCTGAGCGTCGAAGTAGGAAAAGTAGAAGGAAGACCTTTCAGGGTTCTGGAGGACTTCCAGGTAGGGATTGACCCCAAAACCTGTAGCAGTTTCACTCTCTACAGGTCGTTGCTGTTCACACATGCTAAGCCAAGGCCCTAAAACAACCCTCGCCGTAAGTCCCCAAGCCAATGAGGTGTAAGGCTTACGCTCATTGCCGGTCGGGGCGCCATTCTGGAAGACCCTTACTTGATCCGTGAACCCTCACCCGTGAGCCCTACCGCACAAATCCTGAAACCTTAAGCCCGAAGGGGAAACCTTACATGAACGCCAACTCCGGAAACCTCCATCCCTGAATCCTACATCCCTTTTTGTAATAAGCCCCCAAGTCCCGCAGCTCCTTATACAGTAGAAGCCCAGAAGTTGGAAACCCCATAGCCTCGATCCTTAAGAGTAATGTATAGGGAACCCCAGCACTATTTGGCCTTAGTCAGGTTTCCAACTTCATGGGGTTCACTGTAAGACCCCAAGTCCCGCGGCTCCTTATGTGACACCGCAGCCCCAGACCCCTAAAGCCTCAACTCCAACCGTAGGCCCGACAACCACCAACCTCGATCCGAAGCCCAAGGTTTAGAGTTTAGGGGTTTGGGGTTTATAGGGTTTACAGAGCTTTGAGGGTTCAGGGTCAATTTTAAGGGTTTAGGGTTCAGGGTTTCGGGTTTAGGGTTTAGGCTGCCGAACGGAAAGCTCTCAAGCAAACCAGCCATCGTTGAAACTCATACAACACTTGTTGAACCCACGCAAAACGTGCATCAGGTACTCGCAATGTCCCAAATCATCAACCCTGAAACCCAAATCCATACGCCCTAAATCCCTAAACCTGACCGAAATGTATAGACACTACATCCTCAAACCGTACATAAACCCTAATCCTCAAACCCTAAACCCACCAAACCCAAACCCCAACTATCCTTTAAGCCCAAAACCCAACACCCTACAAATCCGAGCCACTCAGGTCGCGGGCCTCGATGACGAGAAGGAGAAGAGCCCTGGGTGGGGACCCCGGGCCCTGGCAGTCAGTGTCAGTTTTTTTGTGCGATTTGAGGCTACGCAAGTCTCATAATTATGGTTTATGGCTACGGTTTAGATAGGGTTTAGGGTTTGAAGGATTGAGGGCTTGTTCAGGGTTTGTCAAGGTTTTATACGGGTTCGTTTTTTGGGAGGCTGGCACAAGGGTTCAAGAAGGAATTCACATGGGTTGTACACGACATGTCTGCAGTCGGCTGTTAGGATTCGTTGAAGGTTTCGCTCTCTGGGTCCTCAAAAAAGCCTGAAAATCTCAAAGGCTCAAGGCTCCTCCGCCACACACCCCAAACCCTGGCTGCGACTTGGGAGCCTCTGGGATATGTACCACAAGCATCGATGGTTCGGTTTAGGTTCAAAGAAAGTCCGGGGCTTTAGCGTTGTCAGGTTTACGGTTCTACTGGGACCTTTTTTGTTTAGTGCCCGGTTCAGGGTCTGAGGATGGGGTTCCGGGCTTTTAGGGCTTTCGGGCTATTATGAGGTGTTCATAAGGCGGAGGGCTTAGGCCCTGCTTCGGTTCCAAGTCATTCCGAGTAGGACTTTCGATGACGTTCTACGAAACGCTACTGTTCGACACAGGGCTCGATCACATAACGTGGCAAGATCGACCTAAACCCTACACCTTTGATAGCATGGCAAGATCGACCTCATCGAGGAGACCCGGTAGTCGAACTGAATCTTTTGTGCGTCGCTTCTTCTCTTCTAAACTTTCGCTCCCAGTAGTCAGGCCCTGCGTCAACAAGCGTTTCCCCGAACAGAGGAAGGGCTGGCATTATGCAGGTCGGAATAATTGCTATTCGTATCCCCTTATTAGTGTCCTGATCGTACTTCAAGTAATTAGAACATCCCCCCAAAAAAGTCAGCACACCTGATGTTCCCCCTGTTGATCTTTTCTGGCTTCCAGGGATGTAAGCCCGTAGGCTCTAGCACCTCTGAAATCCTTAAGCACAAGACCCAACATCTTTCATGCCTACACATGTAGATCCGAAACCCAGCATTCGTTCTGGTCCCCAAACGTTGCCGCCGATCAGGGGCAACAGTGTCGCAGGGCTCACTGTCGCAATCCGCAGCGTCCGGCCTCCCAGCCTTTTTTGTGATTTTAGAGCTTCAGGGTGTACTATTACTATTACTATTACTATTACTATTACTATTACTATTACTATTACTATTACTATTACTATTACTATTACTATTACTATTACTTTTACTATTATTATTACTATTACTATTACTAGAGTGTGTGCTTTTAAGGCGATTGCTGCCATGAATTGAGGGCTGCCGACTTTTGGTCCTGCGCCTATCCGGGTTTCAGGGTGTTGGGATGGGGTTCCGGGTAGGGGCCCCTGAAATAGTTGGGTACATCAGGCTTGAAGGACGAGGAGTTCCTGCGCTGTGGGTGCGCAAGTTGAACGAGTTCGCGAGTGCTGCTTACAGTGGCGCTTTACACTTTGCACCAAACCCTAAAAACCCTGCCCCAGACCTGAAGGCCCCTAGGCCCCAAAACCGAACCCTTTGGAGATGTTATAAATACTAAGAGGAACCCCAGTCTACCCCTGCACAAACCCTCACGACTCCGAGGCCACGCAGCACTGGCTCGGCCGCGATCTCCACACGCCAAGTCGGCCCCTCACCGAGCTCCGGCCCCAGCCAAACGGGTTCAAAAGGGCTTCTTGTAGGATACTGCAGGGTTTGTTTCAGGGTTCAACAGGGTTTCTTGTAGGGTTTGTGTCAGGGTTTGCGGGGTTTTGGGTTCAACAGGATTCTTAGGGTTTCTAGAAGGGTTTCTTGCAGGGTTTGTTTCAGGGTTTGGAGGGCTGTGGGGGAGGGTTTTGGGGTTCAACAGGATTAGGGTTTCTCAAGGGTCTTCTGTAAGGGTTTGAGGCTTTTGGTGTTTTCGTGTTTAGGTCTTTCCCAATTTCATGTTCAGTTTTGTTTGAAAGGGTTTCACTTGATCACTGGAGCCAATCAAAATCATAAGCCAAGCCCACACGATAGATATCGCTGCTCCGTGACATTGCTATGCAGGGGCGTTCCTTTTTTGGCTAGTATTTACTCGTGTGTCTCCAATGATCCATCCTTCGAAGGACCTTTAGAGCAACTGCTCATGTGGTAGTGCTGTCAAGCCTCCTTGGCTACTTCTCATTTGATGGTGGCTTCCTCGACTTAAGCCTTCCATAGCCTTCATCGCTTTAATGCCACTGTGCAGGATTCGATCAGTGCTTGAAGCGCGTCAGCGCCTCCAGGCGTCGACATGGGGTCATGGTGATCAGCTCCCATGCTTCACCCTTGGGCACCCCTCCTTTATGGGCTTCCTGGCTGTTTTCGCAGAGGCGCCTTTGCTACGTCGTGATCTGCCAGTTTTACTAACCGGATGGCTCCGGCTCTTAATTCGCACCTTTATGATTGCAGTGTACACTTCTACTGCCAGTATTGTCAATATTTTCAGTCGTACTGAGACGATATCAGGAACAAAGATTATTGATATGCACGATCACTGTCCGTAGTATTGCCTCAGACATGTCAACCACACCGCGAAGCTTTCGACTGAGAGTGCTCCGTACTGAGAATATTAGGACGTGTTTGATGGGGTGTCATGGGAATGGCAACGACAAAAGAGCGGCAACAGCGACAGGAATGACAGAAAGAATGAACATGGTGTGTAAACATGCTTTTAAATGTCATGTTAGCTGAATGTGTATAGGGATGTCATAGCTTGTCCAGTTGCCAGGTAACAGCTCGTAAAAACACTGATACGGTCATTTTTCATTGTCGGGCTTAAGCTGGCTTCAACCCTAAGCCTTGACCACAGTTTTGTTTTCTTGGACCGAGGGCTTTGCGAAGGCCCCGTCAGCAAGCTAGTTTGTTTGCGTTTCTGATACATCAGCTGTAGAAGTTAGGCGACCGTTGCAGTTGTTGTCAACAGTTGCCGTTTGACTTCCCTTTCCTCACTCCTCAGTATGTTCAGTCATGCGATGTTTAGCACCCGGTTGACGGCTGCATCCTGCATTGTTACCTATGATTGCTCATGGGCAGACAGGGAAGGATCGTATGATAAGCCTCAGTTTCCTGACGCGCTATGTTTTCGTTCCCATGCTCCTCTAGCAGGGTTTCCGTATCCCAAATCCTTAAAGCAAAAACCACTACCCTGAAGCCAGAACCCGCACCTCCCCCCTGGGCCATTTGGATTCAGCGTCCCAGCAAAAACAGGCAGTACGTGGTCCAGCAAACCACGGAGGGCGAGGTCTCTTGCAAGAAGCTCAGCAGGTCTGTACCTAGTTCCTCCCAGTAGTGCCCGTATCCTTTATCATGTTCTTTGTTGTGTCCATGGAGAGCAATGGATCGCAGACCATCCTTGAAGGAGTGTGGGTGATCACTGCCACGCTCGCATCCGCCTCGAACTGCACCGTCACCCTTCGCCCCGCTCCAGCTAGAAACTTCGTCCCGTAACATGAGTAGTTCAGAAAATTCGGGCACCTTCTTAACGGGTACTGACAGTAAGGATCCTATACAGTTTTCAAGTTTCGGGTCTGCTACATCGGGTCTGCTGTAGTCCGAGACAGATTCCTATATCCCCCAAAGCTCTAAGCGTCCTGAAGCCGAAGTTAAACCCTGCACCGAGTCCCAGGTGTCAGTACAGCATCCAAGAGGCTCACGACGTGTGGGCCCGACCCCCGGGTCTTCTATAAGAGCCAGAAGGGTACTCAGGTTTACTCGGGGGCCTTAACAATTCGAATAGGGTTGCTTTTAACGGGACCCGTAAAGGGGTCTATAAGGAGATCTATAGTAGGGTTCTATGGTATCGACGGGTAGCAAGATCATGTAATAGGGGCCTCATAATAATTACCTATTAATGCTGTGTTTTTTTTTTTTTTTTTGGGGGGGGGGGTGGGTTCGTGATTAAAGGTTCCTTTATAGGGTTCTTAAAAAGGGTCCTATTAGGGTTATTATAAGGGGTGCCTTAATAATTACCTCTACTGTATTCCTTATTGTAACTATAGTATAAGCTTCCCCAAAACCCTTTGTGATTATTCAGGCACCTATATGCTAGGAGGACAGTACAAGGGCTGAATCACCAAAAGCCCCAAACCTGGCCCAAACCCCTGAACCTCAAGGTTTTGTTAAAGTTGGAACATCTGGGAATCCTGGGGGGCCCTAAGTCTTGGACCCGTTCGGTGCCCTATCTCGGATCTACACTCGCAACAGACCGTTGCTTGGGGAATATCCCACCCATTTTTTTCCGGACAGAGTTGCCTGGGAATGGTTCAAGTCTCCAGTAGGGTGTAGGCTGTAGGTTGTAATGCTTGTAGCTTCAAGAAAATGGCTTCAGCAATGTTGGTAAGAGTGGGCAGTGTAGTTTGCAGGTTTTGAGAAGCCATCAACTCATGTGAACATGTTGCTGCTCGTAGGATGAGGTCTGCCTGCCGGCAAAGCGATATTTCAACCCACAGTTCCGGTCGTCGGGGAGCATTCTGAGAGCTTACGGGTTGTCTACAGAAAGGGCTGTGGGCAAAGAGGCAGCTGTGGAGTGGTTACAAGCGTGTAAACTCACAAGCTACACCACGGGATCTTGACCCCCAACCCTAAACCCAGAAACTCTTTCATCCCTCACGATACAATTAAACGCACTGAAAGGAGCCTTTTGAGGAGCCCCTAACTTACTTAGGCTGCCGTATTGCAGATTCTCCTTACTTTTCGTAACATTCCTTGCAAGGAAACCCTGTAAAGGCACCTTGCAGAAATTATGAAGGCCCCTACGTTACCCGCTTGAAGCCCTGCCCCTTATCCCCAAGCCCGCGTGGACAAAGCTGGACGCAGGCCCGACTCCGCAGCGAGTATCTGGAGGTCTCAAGGGAAGGGGAGTTTAGGGTTCCTTCAGGGGTTGGTGTAAGGGTTACTCGAATGGGTTTAAGGGGTTGGGCTTCAGGGTTTTTGTAAATATCATTGTCATTCATACGATGGGTGTTTCCAGATGTTGTCAAGCATCATGCGTGCTGTAAGGCTTCATATCCACAGTTTGTGCGGTTGTCAAGTTGTGGGGGTTCAGGGAAGTTCAGGGAACAGGGTTCGGCATACATGGGGGAATAAGGTTGCTCAAGTTACTCACTGTTATAGGATATCCTAGACCCCAGCATTCAAAATCAGAGATTCGCCTCGGAGCTGATCCCGAGAATGTTTCTGTCCTTTGTGTCGGTTTTGCTCACTATGCCCCCGGAACCCATAACCTTTTGAAGCCATAATCCTTACCAGCAACGGAAAGCCGTATGTAGAGCCGCCCCCGGGAGTGTTCTCTGGGAGAGCAGGATCTAAACTCCAGAGCCCTGAAAAGCCACACCTTATGCAACGCCCCTGAACACCTTTAGTTCTTGAACCCCCGGTTAGGAAGCCTTTGCGAAACCGAAAAAGCCTTATACGAATTAATCCTAAACCCTATAAGCCCTAACCCCTATGAAGGACCCTTACAAATCCCTTAGGGCCCGAATCTTCGCAGATCTGCGCTTCGATGCCCGGTTGCGATGTGCGCCGCTACGCAGCGACCGTTGCCGCCCGGGAGTCCAAGTGTGCCGGGCCGCCCGGAGGGCTTTAAAGGGCTGTACTATAAGGGCCTATAATAATAATTACCTATATATGTATATATATATATTTTTTTTTTCAATTATTTTGCAGGTTCCTTATTATAATTATAGCATAAAAGACCCTAAAGCCCCACCTAATTATTCTAAGTGTTCAGGCCCCTATGTTAGGGTCACAGGCACTAGAATTGAGGAGCAGCATTATTACTAGAGCCACAACTAGTACCAGTATGACTGTCAGCATTATACTGCTGATGCTGGTTTATGGTTTGGGGTTGCGTGGTTTGTAATAATTCTGCGCTTCTGACCTTTTAGTTTTGTGCGTCGTGGGGGAAGTAGTTAAGTGTAATGTGTGAGGGCTAGATCCAGGTTGGTTTCCCCCACCCCACCCCACTCACGGCAATAGTGGCATAGGAGGAGTTCCCTAGCTACGATTACGCTTGTACTCCTTAATTAAAGCACTTCCAACCTAAACCCTAAGTCCCGAAACTAGGGTGCTTTACGCAGTTTTTTAGAAGCGTTGTAGTGTTGTAGTTGAGCTTCGGCGGGCTTCGAGTCCCGATAACGCTCCGGAAAGATGCAGGTTGGGGGCTGCTGGAAGGGGATAGGTTGCGCAAATTTCAGTAAAGCCCCAGACCCTAACTCCAAAAGGGGATCCTTCAGTTTAAGAAACCATGCAATCTGGAGCTGTGTAGGCTCGCAAATGCACTCTAAACAATGCATAACGGGGCTTACTAACCTATAGGGCTTTCGCCTAAGGTTTAGTGCCCCTAAACCCTAAACAAAATCTGTGCACCCAGGCAGCACAGCGAGAGCGCGAGGAGGCTCTGAAGAGAAGGGCCCTCTTTCATCGGTGGGCAGATGATCTGAATGATTCGGTATTTCTACCCAGGGGCTCCAAAGTAGTTCCTTTTGGGGATTACCTTATAATATTCTATATATGAACCCCCAAAAGGAACTACTATGGGGCCTATGGGTAAAGTCCCCCCCAGATGTCCCACGAAGCAAGCCTCAAAGTTTTGTGCTTCATGTTCATTGTTCTTGGCTTGCTTCTGACAGAACATCGGGTTTCGGCTTGACAGTTTGTGGTTGGTTTAGTGTCCTCATCTATACTACACCATCCGAAACACCAAACCGCCGTTTCGGAATGTCAACTTTCGTGCTGAAGCTAGAGACCATCCTTCCCATGATGCGCTGTTAAAGGGTTGTCTTAAGAACTATATAGGGGTACTACACTGGTTTAGGGATTTGAGTTTCGGCCGGGTTAGAGAAATTGAAGACAACCCAAACAAGGCCGGGAAATTCTTAGCTTCGGCTTGAGGGCTTCGCATTGCAAGGCTCTAAATGCAAGGGGTGGCCTTTCTTATGGATGTCTATCGTAAATCTTCCCAGCTTACACTGGTATCCAATATTCTGAGAATACAGCCTGAGCCGTAATAGAAAGGTCTCACTGTTCATAATGTGGAGAACATCGGCTTGCACAAGCAAAGATGTGCAACAAATGATCACCCCACCTTCACGACACGATCAAAACGAGCCTGGGTCATCTTTGAATCCTCCTTCGAATATGTCGCCCGGCATTACACGCACCGGGTATTCATCTATTATTCGCGGCACGCATGCTACGTGTACCTTGAAGTCCTGTCTGGATTTCACAGCAGGGTGAAAGGCAATGCCAACACGGCAATTGCGCAACGTTGTGGGTGACATACAGGAATTCCTGGAGGTGGAACGTTTTTTTGACAGCCTGTGAGCTGGTAACTCGTGAAGAAATCATCGATGACTCCTGGGTGATGACGGAGTTCAAGCCAGCCCGTTAGGAAAGTGATGAAGGCTTTCTGAACACCGCAAAATGTGCATTATAATGTGCATAATACCCCTTGATAGCAGCCCTGAAGCCAAAAGATCCAGACCTTCTATCGGGGGCTGACTGAGATCCGAAAAGCCACAGATCCAAGTTTAGGGTTCCCAATATGCGGTGAGAGTCCAGGGTACAACTCGCAACAGGGCACGGGGGTGAATGTTCATAAAGACTGGCCGTCCGCAGTCGGGCCGTGGCTGCACCTCGAAGGGCACAGAGGTCCCGACTGAATTATGTTGCAGCACCTACTCTGCTGCCCGACCCTAAACTCTAAACTCAACGACTCCTTCTCGGAAGCTGCAGACGCTGCCTCTTGGACAAAGGAGCTTAACGAAAAAAACTCAACGACTCCAAGCTTGGATAAGTAACCCTCAGGTCCTAAGGCCCTAAACTCTAAAACAAAACCCTAAACCCTACAAGCCCTAACCCCAACGTCCTTACTTATTTTGCCAAGTACCCTTTAAAGGGCTCTCATATTTCTCATTAAGAGATCCTTAGGGGCTACAGTAAAGGGTAGTTGGGGGGTCTAGGTAATCCCAAACCCCGGAAAACTCTGAAGCCCGGCAGCTCCGAGTCTGCCCAAAGCCTCCGAGCAGACCCTTTCAAACGCACTGTTAGGTAAAGCCAGGAGCCCTAAAGCCTACCACCCTACCCCTTTTTCAGGGTGCCTTCTTTTTTTTGGATAACAGACCCGAACCATAAACCTAATTAGGTATCCTAAAAACGGGTAGGGTATGAGCTTCTAGGTAGAGCCTAAACCCTAGAAACCCCAAAATCTACAGCTACTCCTTAAACCTGATAGGTAAATCCGTTGCCAAGACCTCAGAAATCCGCGTTTAAGACCCTTCTCCAACCCTTCGGACCCCTTTCGGAATCCCGTTAGCCCTCCAAAGCCCCTTAGAGCCCTTCAAACCCCCTCTATAGGACCTGCAAAATCCTGTCTACGTGGTATAAAACCCGGTAAGACGCTCTCGCTGCAGGCCCTGGCCAGACGCAGGGCCCTCCGAAGAGCGGAACACCAAGCTCAAGACAGAGAGAGGCAAGGGCGCAGACAAACCCTAGGCATCCAAGGACTCATATATTAAGGATTTTGGGCCCAAAGACCACACTATATAAGGCTTTTGGGCTATTGTGATGCCCAGGGTAATATAGGGGCTTCAATCATTTCCAATACTATATACTGGGGGTTCCTTACTGATTATAAGTATAGTAGAATGGGCCCCAAAACCCTATTCGAATCAATAAGGCCCCTATTTTACTGTATATCTAACTATTGGTCTCAAGCCGCACTATAGAAGCTAAACCCCAGACTCGAAGCCCAAGAGGCCGTTCTGATTCAGAGGCTTTAGGGTACCTAAAGGTTGGGCGAGGGCTCGAGGGCCCGCGGGCTCCTTATTATTATTGTAGTAAATCCCATAAAGTTGGAAACCGGGTTGAGGCCAAATAGTGCTGGGATACCCTATACAGTACTCTTAAGGATTGAGGCTATGGGGTTTCCAACTTTTTGGCTTTTACTGTATTCAGCAAGGCCCTTATACTACACCAATAGAACAACCCTTTTGTGGTAACTGGTAACCCGTATATCAACCCCCAGAGGAACCTTATTCGGAGTAGGAAGGCCCCCTGTATTTCGGGATTCAGGGTGGTGGGGATGCTGGTGGAGTTTCCGGTTGTTAGCCAGGAAGCAGCTGAAGCAACAGCGACTGCTCCTTCGAGCCGAAAAGGCCGGAAGCGGTGCCGGACTGGGTCCAGGGTTTAGGCTGAGATTGAGTGTTCGATTAAGGGTGGGATTGGATAGTATGTAAGAGAATACCGGTGTAGTCTTTATACGATTAGGTAGTTGTTTGTAATGTTGCTATTTTACGCCCAAACCCCTAGTCGAAACACCCCAAAATCGTGGACCCCCAAAACACTGCCTGAGACTGCACCACAGAGCTAAGCAGTGTTCCCACAATTATGAAGACCGTAAGTACCGACACCCCACGTTTCCAGGTGTTCGGTTTTATGTGGAACTGCCTCCGGGCTTAGAGGCCTCCTGGAACTTCTGATCCCTGCTTGGAGGTTCATGCATAGTAACAAGTGGGGTTATAAGTAGAGTAGCTATACTTGTAACCCATACTAGGGGGCTTATAGCTCCACTTATAACTACCCGTGAACCTCCAAGTCGCCCTTTGGAATCCAGATTTTTCCACCTCCCCTTCATACCGGCGGGATGGGTTCTTGGGGCTAACCTTGGGATCCGGGATTCAACTCGCATCCCGAAAGTGCAGCGAGGCCATGCGAACCCTCCAAGGAATCCTCTAAGGGAGCCCGAAACTCTTAAACCGTGTAGCCACGAGAGCTACGCAGGTATAAGGAGACCCCTCCCTTCCTTCCAGGCATAGTGATTCAGCTTAGTTTAACTTTAGGGTCTTTAATATAGAAGGCCAATGAGGGAACACGTTTGATGATTATCAGGCCCTTGTACAACTTATATAACTTAGGAACCCCTGCGGAAGCCCTTTTCAAATTTTCGCAACCTCTATTAACCTCTATAGAAACTCAACGATGAAGCTTGAGGAGCCCTAGAGAAACCCTGAAAGGAACCTTTCAACGAACACGTACACTTTTAATCACGCTGAAGGGAACCCCTGCTATAAAGAAGCCCTTAAGGGGACCCGAGTATGAAACCCGCAGTACCTTTTAAAGAAACCCGTATAGGAGCCTTAGAGAGATGCATCGACCATCGAAGGCAGCGGCAGCTGCTGAGCGGAGAGAGCTCAGGCTCAAGATCTAGATTAGGGTTAGGGCTTCGGGTTTAGGGTTCAGAATCCAGGAGTGCTTTCTTCGGGGTTCACATCAGGGTCCGACGAGGAACCTACAAGGTTTCTACGAGGGATTTCGAATTCTAGATGTGCTTGAATTGTTTAGGGGCTTTGAAGCCGCATCATAGGAAATTACACGTTTCTGGGTGATTTTACAAACGATCTGCGGGGTCCTGTTTTGATGTGTCCGTCTGATGGGATCAGGGACTAGGGTTGACAGAGTCTTTGGGGTCTCCTAAACGGCACCGGAGGCTCTTCGTTCAGCTCGAGCGCTTGCTCCGCCGTTGGCGGCCCTACCCAACCAAGGCCAGGGTCAAGAATGGCAGCACTCGTGGCATAGGTTTAGGTCCTAGAGTTTAGGGGTTTAGGGTTTTCGTGAGTTGAGGACGGTTATCCTGCAAACTCCTGCTTGGTTTCAGAGTAAATCCGGAATCAATAACGAGAGTCGTAGAGTCTCGTGGCTACGCCTAAGCTTCAAGCTGGGAGAGCCCTAACCTTACATCGTAAACCCTGAGATTCTATGAGCACTGCCCAAAGGCTTTGGAAGAACTTGTCGTCTTCTTTTACTGCAACAGAGCCTTATGTAGTCATTGGGGGAGCCTTTTAAACCTTTTGTTGGTCATATAAGCTGTGCAGTCGTGAAAAGATGCTGGCTCCGAGATATTGAAGACGAGGGAGCACAGTCCAGAAGGACTGCGGTCAAGCTTTGATTGAAAGCACAGCTCGAATTCCGACATGCCAGAGACACCTAACAAGTTATCCGGAATTCCAAAGCCTTGCGTACAATACTCACAGTGGGGACCAAACGAAGAAGGCCCCAGGAGACTACGTAGAGATCCAGTAGAGATCCCGTGTTTGGGCCATAAGGTCAGATACAAGGGGGCTGTAGGAACCTGATTTGTGCGATCCTGTTCTTTGTGTGTTTGCACCTATCTGAACTCTCAGGCCGAGAATTTAGGCGGTGTACTGTTTTTTTGGATGTGTCGTCAGTAAAAGATTCGTGATGATGTCTGAGGCCTCCGCTTGGATGATCTTGGGGACTTAACCGATAGGGTGATGGTGCTTTGGTACTATGGCTTGCGCGCAATCCTCCTTGCACAGTTACCCTGACCCTCCATGTCCAAACCTAAACGACGAATCCGAAACCGCAAAGAAACTCATAAAGCACAGCAAGGTTGAACGAGCCACAACACTCCATGTTGGGAAACGTACACAGACCCTGAGCAAAACGTCGAGTTGGGTACATGACAGCTTTTCATTGTTGTGTTCACGGATCTGGTTCTCTTCTGGTTAAGGGCCCGGGGTTCTTTATCCATAGGGTCCCTTCAAATCCCAAACCTGTGGACGTCCATGGATCCCTAATCGCAAGAAACCGTGTAGTGCTGTGGAATAGGTATCATGACATAAACCGATGAGAAAAATACAAGGTATTGAACAGATGCCACAAATGCGTAAGCATCCTTCAACCCTATACTCCCTAACCTGTAGCTATATGATATATGTAGAAACCACTAGAAACCCGAAGGCTACACCAGATCACAGGCCACCACTTGACCAAGACGGCTCTGGTGCCTCACCGTGCCACGCCCAGCGACCAGCGACATCTTTTCGGTGGTTTTGTGTAAGCGATTGTGGATCTTTTTCTGGGGTCCTTGGAGATCAGATTACAGGCTCCTCCTGGGCAGCTTTTTGAAAAACCCCTGGCTTGAGAAGTGCTCGGATCTGTTTCAGCCTAAACGGAGCACCTCATCGTCCGGATCTTTAACACTGCAAAACAGTGACATGGAACTATGTCGGTGCATCCGAGCCGGTTTCTGGTGAGCTGCTTCGCAGACTGAGCCATGTCAACGAGTGCTGTGAGCCACCACGGAGTGGAGCTGACCTCCAAGGGGGTGGCTGGGCAGGCTGCTCGAACATTGCTTGCTGGTTCATTGGATGAGCCCTCCCAGCGCCACGCTCGGAGGAGAGCAACTCTGGCAGACTGGAGGCGGGATCTGCAGCGTCAGGAGGACGAGAAGCCGGACCAACATCGACGAGCCAAGGCGGCCTTGGCCGTCTACACCTTGGCCCGCGTCGCGGCTAACGTCTGGTTCCTGCTTTGGCCTTCTTCTAGACGTCGTTATTATTCAGATGGTCCAGATTCTCCTTCATTGATCCTTGATTCAATCCTGAGGCCTTTGATCACGGGCCTGGGAGTCTTTGTTTTTCTGTACAGGGAGGATCGCTTCTCTGCGAACAACCCTCTGCAGGTTTGGAGCTTTGCCGCAGCCTTCTGCCTCACGTTGCCCGTGTGCGATCTGAGTGGAGAAGAGGTATTGGAGGTAGTTTTCATGCCCACTCTCCTTCCTGCCTATGCAGTAACAAATGGTGCAAGCATACTGTGGGAAGTCTGTTGCAATCTCTTGCAGGTGCACATGACCACCATGAAGCTTCAAGCGCTCGGCAGGAATCGGACAGCTCGGGTGAGCCGCATGTTGACAAAGCTGGGTACTTGGTCGCTCATTGCGCTCTTTCCGTTGTGGTTGTTGGGAGCTCCCCTGCCGGTTTGGTTATCAGTGAGTGTGTGCTTTTCCTGCACATTTCTGACTATTGGCATCCAGTGTGGGGCACTGATCCTCGCAGCATGCAGTGCTTTGGTGAAAGCATGGGGTGATGATGATGAGACTATCCGTTGGACAGCGTGCCTTTTGTTGGTCAATTCCCTGTTAATTTTGCTAGGCCCGGCGATAAGCTTTGCAGGCCTTTTCGTCCTCATTGCACACCATCTTGGGGCAGGGGGCTCTCCCAGGATCGTTGTGACAGTGGACGTGTCTTTTCAGGTTTGCAATGTTCTGTTGCTGAGCGGCATGGTCGGCCCGAGGTTAATGAATTTGGAGACCTTGAAGAAAATTGCAGAGCTCTCAGGGTTTGGGCTTGCTTCCAAGCGCATTGCGTTTCCGGGACATATCAGTCGAAGTGCTACGGACTGCATTGTCTCCTTCCCGGGTAAATACAGCGAGTCGTGGGACAGAGCAGTCTCCAGCGTTCAGAAGGATGCGTATTCATTGGCGTGCGTTTTTCTGACTGATGCGGACGCTGGTTTAGGCAAGCACGCCAGCAACCCAGCGACCCCTGGCAAGTGCTGGTGCCAGCAAATCTATGGCCCTATACCAGCGTCAGCATACCTCAGCGTGGTCGAAACAAGCGCAGCTGAGCAAAACAGCAATCAGAAGCTCGCGTTTGCAGAAGCAGACGCCAAAGCCATGGGCCAGCGATTGCTGATCAAACAAGATCAAGGGGAGATGGAGTGGGAGCAAGAGCTCGCGGAAGCTTTGCGAGATGCCGAGAAGCGCTGTGCAGAGAACCACGAGTTGGCCCCTTGGGGGTGTCAGTGGTTCGAGGACTGGAAGAACAACGTGGACAGAGCGGAGCAACATCATCAAACGCTGCACGTCTTCTACTTCGAAGGCTGCAAAGGGAAAGGCAAAATGCTTTGGGATCAGCTATCTGACAAGCAGGCAAGGCAGGATGCCAGGAAAAGCAGCGGTTTGGGTGCATCCCAGACTTCTGAAGTTGCCTACCTCGACAAGGTCGGCTTAAGCTACGTGGAACACGACATCACTGAATTCGAGGACTTTCTCGCTTCACATAGCTGACGTGCCTTGACATGCACAGCTTGCGAACATATCGCTGCATGCTTGCCCTCATTGATGCCCGTACAGAGGGGCAAGAGATTTTGCAACCACGGGAGGGAAGGTTACGGTTGAGCACAAAGTATCCCATTAAAATCCCCGGAGGTTTGGTGCCGTTCTCATCAGATCCCGCCCTGATAGGCATGCTTAAAAGTCACTCTCACGCATTTTGCATACATGTTCTTTCTCATACGACGGAGTAAATCGCACTTTAGACTTCAAAAAGTTTGGGGTTCGAAGACTATTCTTGATTCTTGCATGCAGTCGCCTACGTTCACCATCATATGCGGGATGAGAAGTTAAGGCGTGCCCTAGAATTCTTCGAGCATCTTCGGACGATTCTGGCTCTCCTCATACTTTTGTGAAGTGAAGAGTTAAGGAGGCCTGGCATGACAGCTCAGGGGGCAGCACGTATGGTAGCAGTCACTTACAGAGTCCCCAATGCCATTCCAATCCTGATGGCCTATATCCTTATGGCCTATATAAACATACCGTTGTATGTAGCCCCGATACTGCTCGCGAAATAATGCCTACCGGGAGGGGCGGGGGAGGGGAGGGGTTTACATGGATTTGGGTAGGTTTGGTGTTTTCTGTTTTCGACGGTTCAAGGACTCCCCTTTTTCTACCCGCCTGTCCCTCACTCTTGTCCCCTATGTTTGCGCCCCTCAATCCCATCCTCCGCTGTCATCCTCATCTTTTGGGACCCCCAGCCCCTTCCATGTTTGTCCGAGGGAGACTGCAACTTCGATAAGTTTGGGCTTAAGTCCAGCTTTTTCCAATGCTAGGCCCTGCAAGCCTTTCACCGAATCCTTGAAGCAACCCTGAAAGAACCTCTGTAGAACCATTCAAGGGAACCCTGAACCCTACAAGTCTTCTGCAGGCGGCTACAGGCACTCCCGGCAGTCGCAGCGGCTGCACTCGGCTGAAGCTGCGAGAAGACATGCTCGTCAAGAGCGGAAGCGTCGACAACGAGTGGTGTCTGAAATCTTGTGTTTCTCTGACTCTGTCCTTCGTAGGGTTTGTGCTTTAGTGGTCTTGGATTTGGGCTTCGTTGCTCTGCAATCTACAAGGTCGAGAGCTCAGCTCTGCTGATTTTTCAACTTGGTGGGAAGTGCGTTTGTTGAGGCAGCCAGATCGTAGTACCAAGTTTCATTTCCATCCGTGATGAAGCGCACACCTAAACTCAAAACCGTAAACCCTATCTAAACTAGCTGTCTTTACTGGGGCTTGTCATGCACTGACTTCAAGTGTTCATGTCAGCTTTCGAGAGAAGGGTATGCGACGTATGTAATGTAATCCCCAACTGGTCCAAGCTGCGACGGCTACCTTCGCGTTTGTGGAAGAAGCTAGCTTTCGGTAGAGCCAAGATAGACACTCGCTGGGCAGTTCTTTGCATCAGGACCGCGTTCCAACAAAGCAGATCCTATAAAGTGTCACCGTGTTTGAGAATCCACCCGCATTGGAACTCACGGAAAGGTAGAGCGTTTCGGTGTCAAAGCCTTGTTTAAGTTGTCTGGTCGTTGTTTGGGTTTGCTTTCTCGAATGTAATTAGAGGGATCTCCAACACCCTTGTCTTCCTTGCGTTCCGGGAGGTTTGCAGCCAACAAACGAAGCAATTCCAAGTCCCAGGATCCAAAACCGCAAGAAACCCCTGCAAAGCCTCAACGTATCATCATGCAAAACCCTTGTACGAACCTTTGCTAAGAGCCATGAATGTTTGGTCAAGACCACTGAGATTGTTGGCATGCCTCGTTGCTGGCTCCGAGCTTGCCAGTATCATGGCCCAGGGCTGCCGCCCTTCAAAAAGTTCGGTATTATTCCATAGTTGTGAAGTAGTCGTATTCTTAAGTGCCCCTCATGTTGCATAGTATAACGTAACCCAACACCCTTTTCCTCTTCTGGTGAGTAAAGCCCTGCGGGGCTTCGAGCCGGGAACGTTTATCGTTTAGGAGATAGGGTTAAAGCACAGCAAGACTTGCCCATAGCCCGCCAGTTCAGCAGGGGATACAGCTCTACGAATCCCAACTCACGTAGCGTTGAGAGGCCATGTCACGGAACTTTTCTAAAACTTTGTTGATAGGCCCGCCTCAGGGTTTACGGTGTTGCCCTTTGTGGGTCCCCAATTGGCTACATACCTTTCACTGGAAACGCAGAGAAGCAGGCCCACAATTCAGAACAACTCCCAAATACCAAACACGCCCTAAACCTAGCTGTTCAACACTCAGCCCAAGCGGCACCGGCTGGCCATGCTACCATTCCGAAGGCAAAATGCAGGCCTATGGACGATCCAGGGTAGGATTGTCGTTCGCAGACTTTCGGATTGTAGATTTCAAGACTTGGATATGTGGATATGGGGTTAGGTGTCTCGAGGCGAAGGGATTATGTGCACGGGGTTTAGGTTGTTTTGGGCTCAGGGTAGGCCTGAAATCACCTTATCCTGAACTCTGTGCCGTTTATGTAAGGCTTAAAAGTTTCACTTCACGAGTAGGAATTTGTAAATTTGAGAGCCCGTAGCTCCTTATGCGGCTAAACCGAGAGCCCCTTAACAGCTCCCATGCGGAGAATCTAAAACAGCTTTCCGCTGACTTTCCGGCGTGTTTTCGAAGTTCAATCACTGAAGTGGGGGGGGTTCTTGAAACTCCCGCTCATTATGCCTAATATGTGTATGTCGTCAGTATAGTATAGAACATTCAAAAATCACTAGTCAAAGTATTCAGGTGTCTACGTTAAGCCCTGATAATTTTAAGGCGTATCACTCAGCTAAAACACTGTTTGGCCACAGTAGATCGCCAAACCACAAACATAACACCACGACGCCTCTCTGGAAGCCTCCCCTTTGCGGGAAGTCTAGCTATTTGGCTTCCATAAAAAAGTGCGCATGTATATATATATATATATATGTATATAGATATATTTAGATGTGTATATGTAATGTAACACCTTTTGGGGAACAAGGCACCAGAAAAAAGAAGAAACATTCAGAGCGTATCAGACTGCTCATATATAAAACAAGCA